GCAGTAGTCCTAATCCCGGGCAATGTCTATGGATCCAGCTTATTGGACATCGGATGAACGCCATGACAAATTCAGCTGGCGTTAAAGGGTCTTTGCCTGCGTTGACCATAGATGAGAAAGGGCTGGATTCGATTTGCGTTATTCGAACGCATCCGCTGCCACCAGTGTAGAATACCCGAGCCATAGTAGGCAAAAGACCGGTACAGCAGAACAGGCTTTATTGACCAATCAGAAGCCAGAGCCACGCGTCAGGCGCCTTCCATCCGAGTCCACCACGCTGGCCACGCCGCCCATTATACACTGCTCCTCAGTCGTGTCCTTCTCTGGTTGACTGCCTTCCTTTCCCGCATGCCATTGGATCGCAGAGAGACACGAGATTGACTGAGGCCAGGTGGTCCAACATGTCTGCGCCCTGATACGACGCCACACCACATACTGTTGAATACACAAAACTACAGCTACACAACTTCAACTTTGCAATGAGTTTTTGGGGAACCAGTTGTTTTCTGCTTCGGTAAATATTCTATTATTTTCCATGCCATTGATTTCGCTGATAGCTTGCGGATATATAACTAACCCAATTGTGTGAGATGCAGACTACATAAAAATTCTGTTGCGGGAATTCGAAATTGGTCAGCCCCTTTGGAGAGGCGACTGTTTTAAGCTTATGGAGGTTCGTGTAATTTATTTTGCGAAGTCCCTATTTAATTCGGACAAGCCTGATCTGCCGTAGTTATTTTCACTCACTATTCCCACAAAATTCATAATTAGCCCTGCATAATTCCTCTGTGTAGCAACTCTTGTTCAAACCGGTGTCGAAAACTTTAATATAGCAGACATAAACCTGTACGACAAAATTGGTTGGTGTTTTGGTTGTGTTAGTTTCTATCAACAACCAGTCTAGTTTTACTGCAGTGCATTTAACAGTGAAATTGTGTTTCGGTCTTGGATGCTGTATGTAACGTGCCTTTCCATTAATGTAATTCGAGCTTGATGTGTTTTTTCGATTACGAATTTGGGTAGTTTCAAATGTTTCATCTGCTGTATTTGTAGTTCTGAGTAATTCGTCAACCTTATAAGATGCCAACTCTGGATGAAGATGTGGCATTCTTCAATGGTATGCTGCAAGAGTTAATTGTAGAGGAGCAAGAGCTGGACGAACTTCACCGTAAAATTCAAGTCGGTTTCAAAAAGAGGTAAAATTACTTCTTCATGGAATTTTTTTAAAGTCTCGTGCGGGTAAATATAAATGAAGAAAGGTCGGACACCACAAACGAGCAACTTCCAGCAAACCTGCTTTCAGAACTTGAAACTGCCTTGTCCAGGGCTCGTATTGCCTACGAGAGTTATCAGTCCAAAGCTAAATCGCACCCCCATTCAAAACAGCCGGCTTGTGATCCACCTCCGCAGACTAAACCTGTGCATCCGCCTAAAGTGGCTGCCTCAAACGATACCCCAAAACGCCAACCATCTGTAGGGCGTAAGTTCAAGCCGGCGCACACGACTGCTCCATACAATACGTTCAAGGAGCGTCCTCAGAACAGACGCCCGTGGGTCATCTTTGCCTGTTCTTACGTCTTAAATTAGGCTCTCTGGTGTCACAATGCTTCGGCGGAAGGCGAAGTCATGGGTTTCTGGATCACCTCGTAATAATTCTGCCTCCCAAACCACGCAGAAATGTCCTCAGGATCACTCCCCTCCTGACTCAACTTCGTGTCCGGTTAAAGTGATTAAAGAATCAACTTTTGTTCCAACAAGCTCTGGGTATGTTTGATTATTTTAATAAATTTCAAAATGCTAGTTCGAGGAAACCTGAGGAAAAACCTAGTAACTCGTGTCGTTATGAACTGCACCTCACCGCGGATGAGCGCGTTCGTGATATAATTTCTTTGTCAAAATCTCTAAAGACCTATGCAGAAGAAGCCCAAATAAGCTCTGGAGATCCTACTCCTCGTCTCAGGTTTCAGGAATACTGTGAAAGTATTGTATGTCAATTTCATTAATTGTAATTTTTTTGCTTTTCTTTCAGTAACTTGCTGTCAACAAAAATTTTTCACTGATTTTTTAAGTCCTGGGTTTATTTATTTACACTATTTGTCATAATGACGGTGTCGTTGCTATTCTCGAAAAGATTATTGAACAGTCAACGTAATTTTCCGAGTGAATATTAACCATTCCTTTTCCTTATAATTTGGTGTAAACAGGGTAACTCAAATGAGTTCGATCTCTCACGGGCTCAACGGTACCTCGAGGCGAATTTGCCTGAAGTTATATCATTATTTGAAAACTTTTCTCAGATTCTGGATGTCATTGGTAAGTGCTGGACGCAAATAACATTTGAATGCTGACTAGATTATTTGTCATTTGTGGTTGGAAACATTTGATTGTGTCTCGTATTCATGATATGAAATTCAGCCAATGGAATATGACTGGGATAAAATGACCTTATTGCTGTTCCATCATTAATCTTTGAAATATTTCAATGATCGAAGCCCCGTGCTATATGTCTCTTGCATTTCCAAAACCAGTATCTATTTTGCTTAAATATTTCGTTAAAAGTAGTGCTTTGAATTGCTCAAATCGGATTGTCAATTACTCCTTTCGTCTGTTATTAACCATTACAACAGTTGCATGCATTTTCTTAAAGGTGTTGATCGATATTTGTATTTACTGGTTCCTTCGTTTTAGCGAAGTCCTACAGAAGTTCGATTAGTGTCTCCAAAGTTAAACAGATTTGAAATTGTGGATGTAAATTAATGTGATTTTTTTTTCGAAAAAAAATGTCTTGAGTTCGCGCAAGTAGTTCCTCTCGTTTTAGAGTGTCTGTCATGACGAATGAATCGTTTAACCGTCTGAGTGGCTACGCGTAGAAATCGATCTCATGGATGAAGATCCTTTCTTGTGGCTGTGTTGCGTGTCTATTTGCGTCTCCTTCACTAGCCTACTGTGAAGGCAGATTTTTAATGTTCACCAATCTTCCTAAATAGATTGGAACGTAGCGACGGAGGGTCAGTGGCTGTGGCGAAATCAAATGCTGGAGAATTTCCTCGCAATTTTCGATATCGCCGAGTATTTCAAGCCTCGTCTACTAGGCAACGTGGATGAGTGTGGTGGTGTCCCAGAACTTGCAGCTTCTGGCTCCTCTCCAAAAATTGAAACAATTTGGAAAGCCTACGTTTGTTCGGGTAAGCATTTAGCTACTTTGATTACTTCAGTGGAAAACTCAACTTGGACAACAATCAAACTTCTCCGCCTGGCATCTTTTGGTGTACTTACCAGGATTCAATATTTTGCCTAGTGTTCAGCAGGTTTTCTTAAGCTCGGTTCCTCAGATGATTTGGTGCATGGGATTGTAGGTAGAGGCTAATGTCTTGTTATTGATTTTCTTCTTCACAAGGCGGTCAGCGGCAGTCTCCTTCCTCTTCTGAACCTCCAGTGATTCCGTCGCGTTCATTTTGCCTGACCCATGGACCAGCTGTACTCGTCAAGGACAATAGTGCCCAACGCGATTTACTTGATATGGTGGACATGTGGAGAGACATTTTTCATCTTCAACGGCAGCTCCGACAGCTCGAGTACATTGAAAAGAGGCTGCCTGATTGGCTTCAAATGATTGCAGAACAACAAAGGTCTGCTTACTTGTTCCTCTCCTAGCACACAAGCTCTTTCAGTTGACGTTTCATTTTCACATTTTTGTTTTTTTTTCAGCGAGAAGGCTTCGACCCTGCGCCTCTTATGCTCGATTGCGTGTGGCTGCCTCCCTGTGACACTGCAAAAAGATTAGGTCATGCATTTTTTGTACATGCTTCTTTTTGTAATTTGAGTATCAAAATCGTGAATATGATTTTCGAAACAATTATAAAACGGTTCTCTCTTAGCCTAATGGAGGTAAATTTTTCCCCGTTAAGTTGCGAACCAGTTTATACTCGGTGTGAAAACGAAAGTAGTGTCTGCACTTAACCATCCCATTTTCGGTCGATGATCGTATTGACACCATGTAGCGGCTTCTACCACTAAATTCACCAGTCATTATTTGCCTGTTGACTAATTCATCGGTTATTGCTGTTAGTAATCTGGACAACAATTGTAGTTCGACTTTGTGGTGTGGGTTTGTTGTTCCTGACTTTCGCAGTTCAGTATAAACCCACTGAAATGTTTTCATCCTTTTGGCTGGGATTGTCTTTACTACAGTGCATCCCAGGCTGCTTATATTTGTCTGATGGTGCTGCCATCTCAACAAAGATTTACCAATGATTTGGTTCTAGTAGGGCCTTGACGAAAATGCAACGATTGTGTTTGTCAGCCGAAAATTAAACAAGCAGAAGCTAGGATTACAAAGGTGCCTGGATGGGAGCATTTTTCATTCAAATTAACTTATTTATTGAAATAGCTCTAAAGGTAATTCTTGGGACACCTTTTTAGAGAATTAAAAACCTTATCTACAAAACAACGTTGTTACATAAATGTAGACTGTAATTGACTAAAGGATACCGTTATAATTTGTTTTCTTGCAGCTCATTTTTCAACCGAATGTTAATATGAAAAGTCACTTTTCCCTTTTGTGTTATGCAGAAGAACTTAGGTAATAATTTGAGGTTTTTAAATTAAGGTTTTCTGGTGCATTGCGTCCAAAGTTAGCACTTAAATGTAGAGGCTGGATATGAAACTTTAGGAAAAAGATGTTACAAATATATTCATCTATGATACATCAGCACTCTAGTCTTCCCAAAGGTGCTTCGAACTTCATTAATAATTAACTTAACAAGCTATGAGCATTGATTTCTAAGAAACCACAATTTTGGCTTTAAGAGAAATACTATATAATTGGAAAACTGATCAAAAAAATTGCAAAAAAATATGATCACAACTTTTCATACAATCTAGGAATGCTGTCATGTTTTAGTGACGCAGCTGTGAATTTAACAAATTTATTGACTCAAATAGGCGATTTGAATGATTTATGAAGCTGACTATCTGAGAAGGTATAAGTTTTATTTTTCATCGCCGATGGTCGCTGATAAATAATAAAGGTACAAACAGAATAAAAGTCGAGTGTTTTCGCTTTAAACAGTAAAAAGTCTTCAAAAACCATTAAGTTGTCAATAAGTAGAACTTCAAGTAACGGTATGAAAGCATGTTCTCAGATATTTTTAATTGCATTTCTTTACTGCGATTGATTTTTTACTAACTGTGTTATTAAAATTTTTGTTACGGCTGTGAAAATTTAAAAAAATATGCATTAAATTTCTTATACTGCATCAAGTGTTTACTATTTTAGTACATGGACATGTCCTGCGACTTCATTGGATATTGAAATGGTCAATCAGCGTTTGGTTTGTGTGCTCTCTGTTGTGTATTCATCATCTGTGTTTATTTTACGCGATTTTTCGCTGAATATTGTAATTATACTGTTTCGGTTTTTTTGATGCGATGGTGTGATTGTTTTTACTATAGGACCGTTTGTCTCTGAGCCATTTTATTATTCATTACGCGTACCTTATTTTATACGTTCTACTTAAACTATTTTGCTTACTCCCGAAAGACAGATAATTAAGATTTGAATGAAATGTGCCGTTGATTGGAACCGTCGTTACTTAGCTTGTTTGATTGTGTGCCTATTAAGTTGTCGCACCTCTACTGAGGTGAGGCTTCTTACACTTTTTCACTTAATATTCGCCAAGGTTCGAATTTACAAACATTCGAATACAATTATAATTACTTGGCTGGATGCATAATTTCTTTGGTTTTTTAGTGTTTAACTGTCACTATATTCCTTTTAATTTAATTTGCAGGGCTCCAAATTTCGAAGTTTGTCGAACGAATATATCGGGTGAATTACCCTTTTGATCTTCTAGTGACTTTTTAACTACGGCTAACTCTGCTTGTTTTAATCGCTACCCAACTATTACCCGATTAATTGTAAATGAGATAGTTCCCTATTACCTAGATGGCCTTTCCGTCGCTTTAAGGGAGCTTCGTGCACTTACTGACCCATTGATCTATTTCTTATAGACCATCAATCATCGACGCATGCCAAAGCATGCGCCGCCAAGTATGAGAAAAACGATGAAGCGAATAACTATACCAACAAGCTGTGGTCGCTCGTCTTTTTTCGCCGAAAACAACTCTTCAAATGAGTCACTTTTAAATAATTCCGTAAATCATATTCCTTGTTTCTCGGTGCGTTGCGCACCTGTACGTATACTTTCATTCACATTTCATTTTTAGGAGGCTGGTTGCACCCAATCACCGGAAAATGAACGAAAGTCCTATCATGATCTTGAAAATGTGGAACATGACGGAACCGTTGTTGCCGTTGATGAAATATATCAATTGGGAATCGAACACAAGGAAAATAATGAGATCTACCTTTTCGACTTCGTCGACAGCTTACAAGTCTCCTACCCCGTTACCCTTTCCCACGTTAGCACAGATCGTCTCGAAAAACTCCCTCCTTACTTCCACGGGCGTCTTTTTGATGAACATCTCTCGTGTCTTGCTTCTGACGTTTTTCGTCAACTCACCTCTCGCCTAGAAACCTGGATGGATGCCTTAGATGCAAACGCCCAGACTGAATTTATCGCCCGTCATATGAAAGCCCATGAGGAACTCACCATTTTACGGAGGCAAATTTTTACTCTTCTCAAGCTCCTAGTCCCTAACCCCAGTCTTTCTGACGGCTTTGACTGTACTACCGCTGACTTAGATCGTCTTCTGGTTAGGATTATTAGTGAGATCAGCAAAAGCGGCAGCAGCAGCACCGACGGTGATGAAAACCTAAGCCTTCCAATAGTTTCAGTTTGTATAGAACCTGAACACTGTGTTCAAGTCCTAAGGCAGCGTGTTTTGACGTTGCTTCAGACACTTCTACCAAGTCTGCGACTACCTAAATCTTTCGATATAACTCGTGACTTACATGATCTTATCAATGCTGTTTATTCATACAACACACAAAAATTTTAATAATTGGAAGACTAAAAGTCCTGCATTTTATACTCTATACTCCTAAATGTCACCCTTCTACCCAATTACATGTATGAGAGAAAACTACCTTCAAATTATTGCCGTTTCTTTGGAATTTTATGATCAAAGAAAAATTCTACCAGTCTTTTATGCGAAATTGCTTATATTTACTCAAGAGTAAATGTACCTAAAGCCGCCAACGTAGAACCTACCGCTTAACTGCTAGTCAATTTCTCCTCGTCAGTGTTTGATGTGAACTGCACGCCTAGTTTTTTTGATGCGCAGCAGTTGCAGTGCCACCTCTTTGATTATCATTTATGTGCTATGAGCACTGACGGGGATTTCCACAAGAGATTAGTTCCACTGGGAGAGCCCAAACGTCTAAAGTGGATTCTTTCCATGTCGATTCCACCAACTCAATTAAGCCTCGTTATTTACATCGAAGTAGGCCTTGCAAATTTGATCTGTAGCAATTCAATCGGCAAAGCAACA